AAGATAAAGGTTGCTGCAGAAGAACCTTCTAAACCCAAGAGGAAGGCTACTGGTGAAGCTGCTGCTGTCAAGCCTAAGAGAGTCAAGAGGCAAGAGATCAATCCTCCAGAGGCAAGTCTAAATGAGATTCTGGAAACTGTCAAAGAGGTATTAACATTTGATCAAACTCTTCTTGAACCTATACCATCACCCTCACTTTCTCCTCCTCGTGTTTCTAAACCTAGGAAACCCTCTGTTACAACTTATTATGTACCCCGACCTCTAGCAACTCCATCTGAAAAGTATACATCTGAACCAACACCTTCTAAACCATCTGATATCCCCCATCTGACAAATAAACACCTGCATCAAAATCATCTGAAATTCTCCCACCAGAACCACCAATCTCAACACCAGCAGAATCAACACCACAAGAACCTTCTCCACAACAACAAAAACCTGAATCTCAACAAACTTCAGTACCTGAACCACTATCCTCTGAACCTATTGTATCTGAACCACCAAAACCTATACCTTCCAATCCACAACCTAATCCTCAACCAGAGCAACCCAAACCTACTAAATCATACATATCTGATTCTGAGGTTCTGGATGTCCAACCCCTCAAAACTCTGTTTGATGTATCTTCCATATCTTGTCCCTCTTCTACCTCATCTGATTCATATGAATCTGATATTCATCCAGAAGTAAACTCACCACCATCTCTTCGTGGCTATGAACCTAAACAACCATATACATCTATTTCATCTGATGCTATCATTCCTAAACCCACTCCAAAACCTAAACCAAGAACATCTGAGTTTGTTTCATTTGCATCCTTGAAACCTTCTCCATCTGATCCCCTTCCCTCTGGACTCAAACTCAAACACTTCTTTTTCAAACCAAAACAATCAGCTTTTGTTTCATACCTTGATAATCCAAGAGCTGTTATTCCATCCATACGCAGAATAAAACCATTCTTTCGCCTCATGCCTGCTCAAAAGAAACCATCATATCCCAGTCCTCTGATCATTATTCCAACTTTTACTATACCATCCTCATCTGACCAACCTCAACCACCGACTCTGGAAACCTACCTTAAACCTAAATCCAGATTAGATGTTAATGCTCTATTTGCTAGTTTCAAGAAGGAAATCAGAATTAGTCTAAACTCTGTGGAAGAGAAATGTCTCTCAAGCATCAATCCAGAAGCTTCTGAAGAATGCTGGAATAATTTCATTGCCAGATTCAACACTGTTGCTTCAAATCTGAAGAGTGTCTGCTCTGATGATGCGAAGATCAGATTTGCTGAGCTTACCAGAACAATGCTTTGGAATCTGACCAGATCTCCTAGATTGCTTCTTGAGGATGCACCTTCATCTTCTGGAGTGTCTGCTACTTCTGAGACTATTGAAGGATCTACTTCTGAAGTCATTATGGAAGACAATCCTTTAGCTCTGATGATTGTGGACAAATCATCTGAATCTGTGCTTCCATAATCTGCAACTCCAATGGATATTGACTCTGCTCCCACTCCTTCATCAGAATCTGCTCTGTCTACTTCTTCTGAGATTAAGAAAGAGAACCCAGACTTAGAAGATAAGATTGTTGTGCTGGAAGCTGGTCAATCTGAGATAAAGTCCTGGATGGCAAGGCAAGATCAGAAGACTGACAATATTGAGAAATGGATGTCCAAGCAAGAAGAATCTTCTTCTGAGATCACTCACCTTCTGAAGATGCTTCTCTCCAAACAATCTTAGATTTATGTTTTCTTTATCTGATGTTTGAGCACTTGTTTTGCATTTCTTATCTGATGTTTTGTCTGTTCTATCTGAATATTTATTTGAATGAATGAATCTGAATGTTTTCTCTATATGATTATATCTTTTCTCTCTGTTTCCTTTTATTTGTCTTTAAAAGCTTTCTTTTTTATTATGACAAAAAGGGGGAGAAAATGAAATTCTGACTGTTCAAATAAACTTTACCTGAATGAAATTCAGACATATCAAATCACATCTAACATGAATTTTTAGTCTTTCAGAACAATAATGATAAATCTGACAAAATTCATTAAAGTAACTCTGAGATCCCCAGATCAAGGTTTAACCAATCTGGCTCTGATTCTGAAATGTTCATCCAAATCAAGCTCTAATTTTGAACATTCAGGCTCTGATTCTAAAAAGAATACTCATGCAAAAAGGGAAGTTTCTATTCTTTCTTAGTATTCAATTTAGGGGGAGATTCATAATCTCAGGGGGAGTTATATTTATCTCTTTATTGAACAAAATTTCCTATGTTTTTGTCATCATCAAAAAGGGGGAGATTGTTAGAACATAGATTGGTTCTTAGTTATATCTCTATGTTTTGATGATAACACTAATGAAATTTTGTATTAAGAAATTATATACTCTAAATTTGTTCAAGTATTTTTGCTGCAGATATTAAATTTAATATTCTTCTGAAGGCAAAAATGAATCTGAACATTGAACTACGCAAGGCTCTGAGCGTCAGAAGCATCTCGTTAGAAGACTCTGAGTGCTGCCTACAGAAGACTCTGAAGCAGAAGCTACAGAAGCATCTGAAGCGTAGACTGAAGACTTTGTATGAAAAGTTTCAAGCACTGTTTTTCAGAAGACTCTGATAGTATTGTTCGCTGCAAGTACTGAGGATCTGATCTCCAAACTTTGCTCTGATTAATTTCACGCTGAAGCACACTTGCTGCAACACTCTGATACAAAAAACTCTGATGACATCAAGACTCTGATCACTCAAGGCTCTGATGTTGATTGCTGTGAAATAGAAACTTGTTGAAGAAGATTATTCAAAGTTATATCTGTTGGTTATGTCAAACGACTCTTTCCTCTTTCATGTTAGACACAAGAACTCAGGCAAAAAGGATTTCTCTGAATGTTTTACTTCTAGGAAAGGTCAAGTGATGTGAAGACAAAAGGCTACAGCTACTTTGCAGTACACTGTCTTCAAGCTTGCAACATCTTGGACTTCTTTGTATATATAAGCAAGCCTTCAACAACTTTCTTCAGTTGACGTATTTTGACAAATTCATTGAAAACTCTCTCAAAGCTCTCATACAAATTATAATTCTTTTTTGAATAGTTTCATACGTTCTTAAACTTAAGTGTAAATCACAGTTGTGATATAGCATTCTTAGAAGCATTTCAAACACTTGTTTAGTTTACATTTGATTGTAAAAGTTCCTTGAGAAGACCAAGTTGTGGTCAGTAGTTCTTGAGAAGACTAAGACAGTTGTTCTTAGTGGTTGATATTGTAATCAGTTTGATTATAGTGGATTAAGTCCTTGTGGAGAAAGGCAAATCACTCTTGATAGGGTGGACTGGATTAGTTGAGTTCAACGAACTAGGATAAAAATCTTTGTGTTTCAACCCCCCCTTCTAAGTATTTTCTCACCTTCATCAATATGTGCACATTATTTACATCGAGAAACTTCACATTTTTGCTCTCATTATTTCAATCATATGATGTTGACTCCGAGAATCATAAGAATGAAGTTCACTTTAGTGTAAGAAGTCAATTCACACTATTGGTTTTTGGTCGTCCTGGTTGTCTTTTTGGAAAGACAAGTGTGCATTGGTTGTCTGAAATAGAAATGCAATCTGCTCATGTTCATGTGTTGATTAACTACGTTGAAGTTAAACCATATCTTGAGTAGTATATTAAATTAAGTTTGTATTTCTTTTTTTTTAAATATACTTGTTTAACATAGATTTTTTCTTCTTCGAAATAGGGAATTTAATACTTATTATTTTCAAAGCACGGGTGAACAACCATCGACAGGTTACACACATGCCTATTTTCCAGCATGGTTCAAGCAACAATTATATTGCATTGTTGCACCAAGTCCTGAAATAATTTATTTGAGAAGTTTATCTGAAGGCCCTCATCAGCGTGCAAATGAATGGCACACATACTTTGTAAACGGATATAAATTCCACACTCAAACATGGACAGAAGGGAAGAAAACAATAAACAGTGGTGTAGTTGTAAAAGGAGTTACAGAGGGTGGTGAGGATGACTTTTATGGTGTTATCACACATATTTATGAGTTGGTATATAATTATATGGACTCGGAAAATAAAGTTGTCCTATTTTATTGTGATTGGTATGATCAATCTTCCAGAGGAACTAAAATAGATAAAAAAAATATAACACTGTTGAGATACAAATGGATCGAAAGTACAAAGAGTATGACCCTTTCATAATGGCACATAATGTTAGGCAAGTTTACTATGTTCCTTATCCTTCACGTGTTCGAATTAATTGGGAAAATAAAAGAACACGTCCCAGTTGGATTGGTGAGGATGTATTTAAGCAACTTATTGACCATTGGAATTCTGAAGCCTTTAAGCAAGTTTCTGAAAAAGAAAAAAAAACAGGGCATCTGAAGTTGGTGGCTGCAACTACACAGCAGGAAGTATTAGTGTTGCTGAAATTGCACATAGGCTGGTAAATTTATTTATTTTACTTAATTTTTCATTTAAAATTTGGATTAAAACAAACTATTTTTTCACTTATGTTTTATTTTATTAGCGTGATGAGTTGGGAAGAACTCCTATGCTTAATGAGATCCATCTAGAGACTCATATCAAGAAAAATGGGGAGTTTGTCGATAAACACTCAAAGGAAACTCAAGTAAGTTTTGCTAAAATTTAGTCATTTTATTTTTTTCTTTTATACAATGTTATTTAGTCATCTTATTTAAATTATTATAACATCTAAGGTTTTTTTTATAGGAGGAGTATGATCGAAGACTTGCACTTTCTTTACCTGAGCATCCTGAGTTACCTCCACCACCACAGGGATACCCTGTTGATCCTTGTCTAGGTTTTCAGAGTTGGTATGATGCTGCTCGCGAGAAGAGGAAAAATGGAAGGGAGTATGGTGCTAGAGGGTGTGCCAAAACAATTAAGCGGCGTGATAGGACTTTCAGGATGAGACTTGATGATGGAGAAGGATCATCGCGTCCACCTGTATTAACCGTTGATATGCTTGAAAATGTGAGAAATTTGGCTCAGACTGAGGCAACACGTGAGGCGGCAGCTAGACAAGCAGAGATGGAGGAAATGAGGAGAAGACGAGCTGAGATGGAGGAAGAATTGAGGAGGAAAACAACGGAGTATGAGGAAGCAATGCGGATTCCAAATGAGCGCGCATTGAAATTTGAACAATTTATGGCATTGCATATGAATCAAGGTGTGGGAGGAAGAGACGAGGAAGATGAGGAGGATGATGAAGAAGTTGACTAAATGTGTCATGAATTATAAATATTTTTATATTTTATTTTATTTTTGTCATGAATTATTTTTATTTTTATGATGGATTTGGATATTTACTTTTATTACACTTTTAATTATAAATTATTGTATTTTACAAAATATATATTTTTATTTATTATATAATTATATTAAAATATATATTTTTTATTATATAATTATATTATTCTAATTATAATAATATAATTATAAAATGTAATAAAAATTTATTATATAATTATATTATTATTCTAATATAATTATAACAATATAATTAAAATAATATAATTAAAATAATATAATTATAAATTATAAAAAAATATTATAATTATTGGCTAGGGGTAACCCCTCGCAAATTCCAAAATGTGGGACAGCTGGCTAGGGGCTTAACCCCTCACAAATGTATGACACAGACAGCTAGGGGTTGCACCCCTCACTAAATTCAAAAACCACGTAACTTAGCTAGGGGCTTATCCCCTCGCAAACGCATATGACACGTCTGAGCCCCTTTGTGGCTCTAGTCTGTGTCTATGTCTATGGTGTAGCAGGCTGATTTTTTTCCATTACATTTTGCGAGGGGCTTATCCCCTAGCCATTTTTGCGAGGGGCTTATCCCCTCACAATAATTTGCGATGCCCTGATTAGCTAGGGGCCCTGTCCCCTCGCAAATTGTTGTTTTGTGATGGTTTTTTTTTGATTTAGTGAGGGGTTTAACCCCTAGCTAAATCTGATTTTTCTTGTAGTGTTGGAGCTTGCTAAACATTTTTTTTTTGTGAAACAAAAACCATAGTATGGCAAACATATTTTGAACATGGCAACCAAATTATCTTTTTCTTTTGAAATTCATCAAACTCATATTGATGTTCCTCAAACTTTTCCGGGAACAAGTCCAACTCATCAACTTTAGGTACATTGTTATGCTTGGAGCTCCCTATAATCTCTCCATGTAGTATTATTTAGATTATTGGGATATGAAAGTCAAATTCAGGCACATGTACATTATTATGCTTGTAGCTCATATATAAAAGTAAAAATATGAATCACTTCTTCTTGAAGATAAGATAAGATTAGACCTATTTATTGACTTCAAATATAAAATTCAATGAAACACGGATATGATACGGATATTAGATACGATACGTATCCGATACAGAGATATGTTAGTCATTGAAAAATTTAGGATACAATACATTTAAAATACGTATATACAAAAATTAAAATTAAACATTAGTTAAATAATTCTCTAACAAAATTCAATTGAGTTTGTAAAATTTGATGATGATTGATTAAGATAAAAAGAAAAAAAAATATTAAAGTAAAAAGAAAAAGAAAAATGAACCTTACTCTAACAATGAGCAATTAGCCATCATCAAATGGTGATGAAACGAATAAGTTTTTACGAGGTATAAGAGAAGAAGATATGTGCAACAACATTGTTTGGGTAAATATTTGGTTGCTCTTCTTACAAACATGACAAATGCTGTTGGGAGCAAGTGTCACTCACGTGGTAAAGATTTGTGCAACATTGTTTTGTCTTCATAATCAACCTTGATCTCAGTGTTTTTCAGATCAATGATGACTTTATTGAACTCGTCTAAATGATCCTCCAATGTCTTCCTGACAACTTCTGCTTCAAAGATACTTTGTTGGCCATTGATTTGGTCATATACATATACTCCAATTTAAGCCATAATCTTGAAGCGGTTTTTTTTTTAAAACTTCTCTAATAATATTATCCCCTAAATAAAGAATTAAGGAGTATTATGCCTTATAAAGCATATTCTTCTTCTCATTGACCGATAGCGTTTTCGATCATTTTGCTTCATCGGTCAAATTCAATCCCTTGTTGAACCAAAAGAGCCTCATTTTCAATCTCCACATATTGAAATCATTTTTTCCTAAAAACTTGTCAATATCAAATTTCTCGGAACTACTCATGTTGAACTCATGTTGAGCCCTTGTGTTAGGATGTTAAACAGGCCCACCAGATTGACTAAGAAGTCCATTTGGCAGCAGGACTTTATCATGTATTAAGAATGTTTTTTTATATATAATTTCATGTTTTTGCTATCTCTTATTATATTGGTCTTCTGACCCAGAATTGTAGGCCCTTTAATTCATTGTATTTAAGTTCTTCTTGCTTTGGAATTATTATGGAAAAATTCATTATTTTTATTTTTAACTTTTTAGTTGTCTTCTTAATAAACCCTAATCTCTTGGTAGTAGTAAAACTTGATAGACGACGACACAGGTCTAGAAGGGGGGGTTTAATAGCGCACTTATTAAAAACAGAGTCGGCGCTCACCAATATTTGGTTTTAAAAAGATTTTAGACGAAATCGGCCGAGAAACTATATTCGTCTAAGCGAACCTTTACCAAAAAGACCGGATATACGCAAAGCCTATGGGATCCGATAAAGACGAGATTTAGAATCACTAATTTGAACACACATCAACTAGATTTTATTCACGATAAGATTGGACAGTTTCCAATGCGTGTAAAATATAACCCAATTGAAAAGACAACACAAGTGTTTCTGTTCATGCAATCAGTCGAACACTTGGTGTGCAAGGCACCACAAGTGAACTTCAACATGTAAGTGAAGTGCTATAGTATTCAATTACAATCAAGGATTGTAATAAGGTTTCTAAAAATGGTTCAACACTATACACATCAGAATTTTGATCAACTAAATTGTTTGCACACAAACTCAAACATTAAGCAATTGAAAAATAAAGAGAGAACACCAATTTGTTAAGGCAGTTCCCCCATCCTCCTAGCTCGTGTAACACCCTTTTCTATCCCACAAAATAAAAGACAAAATATTCACATTTATCAGAGTAAAATATTAGACTCAATAAAAATCACCTCAAAGGGCGTACATTTCCCAATAAATCAAATATGAGTCAAAGCTCTGTAAACAACGGATTTTCCCAAAAGATATCAAAAATTGCAGCGGAACTCAAAAAGACATAATTCGAAGTTTTCCTTATACGAGAACATAATCAAAATAATCAAATCAAATAAATCATGGTTTAACTCAAAGACCCCGACCCGATGTTACACTATCAGAGCAAGACCTTCTACGTTAACCAAAGTGGCCAACAACTCAAAACTCTGAAAAGATCCTCGACAACATCTACGACTAAACTTGGTGATCTGCACGTTACCCACGTGGAGGCAACATTCAAACGAGCAGGGTGAGTAAAACGATTCATAATAATCAATGTAATAAATCAACATATTACATGGCATCATTTTCATATTCAACATCATCATATTCATCAAGGAGCATCAAAGGTCACAACATCATAATTTACTCAAGATCATCTCATAAATGCAAATGCAACAAGACTCAATATATGTGATATGTATCATCACAGCTCGATGGACACTGGGTCATCAACCCTCCATAGATCCCCATCAATAGGATCGATTCTACCCGAGAATCGAAGCACATCAAAATACCTCACATCCGAACAATGGGACTAAAGCCAAAGAAATTAAGGTCCTGAACTGAAGTCCGGATGCACATGAATGCACGATGCACACGTCAATAATCATCCTCATAATAACATCATAGGTGTTGCGGTGGAAATAGGATATCAAACTATTAATTAGTTTGAATCACAATTCTTGATTCACAATCGCTCTTTGATTTATCCGAAGGAAAAGGTCAAAAGAGGGAAAACCTATTTTTGCATCGTAAACACAATGCGAGGAGAGACCTAGGTAAGGGGTTGGTTAAATTTAGGGAAGGTACTAGCACCCTAAATTTCTGTAGTACTCTACAGGAACCTTTTATTTATTGTTTACCATTATTTTATTTATTATCTGCTTTAATATATATTGAGCTAAGGGATAGAGTGACCTAAAGACCTAAGGGTTAGTCCTAAGTTTACTCGGCAAGATTCACATCTTGTGCCTATGTATCCTGGATAGGGAATGAAATCAGAGTAATCGTAGTTCCCCTCGAAAGGGAGGTTAGAAACTTCTCGAATGTGGTCAAGGTTTCAATGGGGAAGTAAACATTTCTTAGGGAAACGCTTACGTGGAGTTTCGAAACTCCTATTTCTATGTTAAAATGTTGAATTGAAATTAGGGTTAAAATTAGGGATTCCACGGCGGGAAACCCTAAAATAGAGTACGGCGACTCTTTGACCTAAAAGCTAGGGTAAAGGGTATTTTCGTCCACGGAGGGACGCCTAGACTATTAGGGTTTTGGAAACGGTCAAGGGTTAGGACTATTGACTCGGCGGTCAAACGGCTAGACCTAATTCCTTTGGAAGGAACAGAACGGTAAAAGCATGCAAACAGTCAAAATATTATATGGCAGAAATAAAATGCGAAAAGTAAAGAAAGCGTCGCGACGATCACTCGCGTAAATTACAAGTCCCCAAAAGAACAATAAAATAAACTGCGACCATGGCCTCACGTAAATTACATCCATGGAACAAAATAAATTGAATAAATTGGATTTTTCTGAATTGGTTTCTCTGTTGGACTTTCTGAATTGGTTTCGTTGGAATTCATTTTTTTCGAAGGATTCGAGTTAAGGTCCTAATGGGCAAACCTTCCTCTTGAGAAAAAATCACTTCTTAAACTGGATTTTCAAATAAGCTCTTCTGGCCAACAACTTATTTCAAACCTACTTTTCCTCTTCCTCTTTCGGTGCCTTCGATAAGAACAGAAAACTGTCGGATAGGCCATTGGCCGAGAATCGAACCCGATGATGATACCACTCTGAGGGTATCGAAACTAACCGATTAAGGTTCATTTTTTGTCTTGTTTTGCAGGTACGGAAGAATCAGAAGCTCGGCTAATCGGAAAGAGTCGGAGAAATCGGAACCAGACTTAGGCCTTAGGAATTAATTTAGGAAAAAAATGCATATTTGTATTTTGTAATTTTTTGTGATTTTTATTTATATTTTTTTTTGTAATTTTAATTTTTATTAAAAATGTATTTATTTACCTCAGTTTTATATTTTTGTAAT